GAGCCCACCCCCCCTGCACCAACCTGAGCCCCCACATTCAGACCCCCATGCCACTGACCCCCAACTAGCTGCACCCAGACCCCCACCCCACCAAGCCCCACTCCCCCAGCATCCATACCCCCCTACTGAGACCCCCACACCCAGACCCCTCCTCTGAGCCCCAGCCATTTTCACCTGGAAGCCCCTGCAGAATCCCATTGCCCCTGCACCTGGAACCCACCCAATGAGCCTCTGTGCATCCAGGTCCTCCCCCCACCCCCCACTGAGCTGCCTGCACCCAGATTGTCCCTCACAGAATCCTCTCACCCTCACAGCAGGATCCCCCCACACTGAGCCCCTCCTGCCTCGTTGAGCCTGCCTACCCCACATCTAGTGTGCCTTGCTGGGCCCCAGGGTGTTTCTGGGGCAGGCCCAAGCCTCGTGCTGTGTCAGGGTCGGGTGCAGCCTCACCACTGAATCCGTCTCCTGGGGGTGGGAGATCTCCCACCTTCGTGTAGCCAGTGGCCTGTGCTCCCCACTGCCTTGCTGCAGCCTCACCACTGAATCCGTCTCCTGGGGGTGGGAGATCTCCCACCTTCGTGTAGCCAGTGGCCTGTGCTCCCCACTGCCTTGCTGCAGCCTCTGTGTTTATTTATTGACAAATAAAACTAGCCAAATTTTAAAATATTGTGAGCAGAATTTTTAATTTTTTGGATGACGAATTTTTTAGGCGCAGAATGCCCTCAGGAGTAATGTTCTAAAGAGCTGTTGCAGTTTGAGTCAAGGGATTTTTTTGTTTTAATAGACATTAAACCACAAAGCGCCTGTCTCTTAATACAAACCAGCAAGTCTAGAATTAAGGCTAAAATGCCATCCATCCATATCTCTCTCTCTGTCCATTTTGCCTACAAATTGGAAAAGTTTCAAAACCAGCAGGCTTGGCCCTTCAATGCCTGTGCACAACAGGGCAGATTAAGGATGTGGTTTTAGCTTGAGCCACGTGTTGAGAGGATTCTCTGCTTATTCATATTAATCCACATTTGCACAATCCATACAGTGATGCAGCACTGAGGGTGATGCATTGGAGCTGTATAATTACACCACAGAGAGCAGTATGGTGCATTCACATTACAGTACGTAGGCGCCAACTCCATTTTCGGGGGGAAAATGGTGGGTGCTGAGCACCCACTGGCAGCCCCAGTACCAGAACCTCCCCCTCCCCCCAGCGCCTCCTGCCCGCTGGCGGGCCCCACCGATCAGCACCTTCCCCTCCCTCCTATGGCCTGCCACAGATCAGCTCTTTCTCAGTGGCAGGAGGCGCTGGAGGGCGAGGGGGGGAGGGAGGGAAGAAGCAAGGGCACAGCGTGCTCGGGGGAGGGGTGGAATTGGGTGGGAAAAGATGGGGGCAGAGCAGGGGTGAGAAGAAGCAGGGTGGGGGTTGGGCCTTGGGGGAAGGGTTGGAGTTGCGGGCGGGGCCTAGGCGGAGCCGAGGGAAGCACCCTCCAGCAGATTGCATTTCACCAACATTTAGCCACGTTTAGCTTCACAATTTGGAAGGTAAAGGAAGTGAAAGACCTGAAATAGCTATAAAATCCTAAGTATGAGATCAGATGTTGCACTGGGACTATACAAATGCAGTATTGCTAGAGATTTGTAAAGTCACTCGCAAGCAGTGTTTGGCATGCACACCCATCCATCTCTGGATGTTGGTTGCTATTTGCTAGCCACTGCAGGAAAACACACACACACACACACACACACCACTTTCCCCCACTCCCTCAACCCTGAACAACAATGGGTTAAATCCAGAAGAGGTCACCATCTCCCAGGTATAGTCTCAGGTATTTGTTATCATCTAGAATCAAACCAGACTGGAAAGAATGTATTATGTCACATTACAGACACCTGAGGATCCGTGAGGAAAATGGAATACACTCTTTGGGTCTCTGCTGGTATTTTTAAAATGACCAGGCCAAAGCTCAGCTTCTACTGTTTATACTGTCAGCAGAACCTCTGCAGTGAATTATTCCCTTGGAAGGATTCTGGGGTATCTATTATTCTGCATCTACAGCTGCAGTTAAGGCAAAGCCCTTACAATAAATTATTGTAAAGAAGTCTGAGGCTGTTTTGAAGCTCTGCAAGGCCCTAGTTTGTATGACTGTGCACCAGTAACAAGACCACGATAAAGTTTGCTGGACAGGGGATGGAAGGGAACCAGGCTCTATTAACCACACAGTTTTTGCATACTGAGCGTTTTCTGGGCTTACTTTTGAAATATATGATGCAATGGAATAAAAATGACATGCTTAAATGCTTCTTTGAAGGGCTTTCATTTAAAGAGAATAGTAGTTCGCTAAATAAAATAGCATCAAAAGGGTGTTCATTTGAGCATAATACAATTAGTCCAGTAATGACCATGTTTTCACACCTTTTTTGTTAGTCCATGGTTCTCTATGCTAGTGACAAATGCTTTACTAGAGCTCGCCAGGCACCCCAAGTCTAAGATTTTTGGACCATTATCTACATATTTGTCTCTTTCCTCCCAACTCCTTTCACTCCCCTAGCAGCGGCCGAGAATGTAACCGAAGAGCAAAGCACACAAATACATTTTCAGCTTGTTGGGGCAGGCGCTATTGCATTCACTCACTGAAACACATTTGGTATCCTGCCAACAAGTAAACATGAACATATTAGCAAGTCTCCATCAGTTTAAAAGGTGGAGCTGAGGCGGTCTCCAACCAGTCCTGGGGTCTGAAACAGTAGTGCTGGAATGCAGGCCGTGGGAGGCCCTGGAAGAGAGCAGCGGGTTGCTGAGAGGAAACTTGGGGAGCTGGGAGAAAGATAGGGGGAGCTGAGGGAGGCCTGGGCGAGCAGGGAGTGATTCTCCATAGAGCCGGTCCTGTCCCTGCCTGTGCCAGGCTCCTCCCTCCACTATCCATGTGGTCCTGCTGCCAGACTCCAGCTCCACCCTGGGCTCCTGGCACTCTGTTCCCTGACGCTCCCCTGGCTGGTCCTGGCAGCCGCATCCCCAGCTCCCTCCCAGGCCTAGCATCAGCACCTGCTGGCTCAAAGCCTCTCTGCAGCTGGGGAGAGAGAAAAGAGCCACTTGACCTGGGACCATCGCTGTTCCAGCTCCAAAACAAAAAAATAGTGCCAGATCAGCATTTTGGAGCATTTCAACACAGCTGGAGCACGGTCTCCAACGGGTTTCATATTCCACGTTGTGCTTTACAGCTTTCACTAAGAAACTTCTCAACAAGTTGAGACGTCATCAACCATCCCTAACACATGCTAGGAAAAAGATATCTGGATCCGTAAACTTGGCCACCTAATCAAATGGACGGATTTCCATTGGGACTGAACACCTGCAGCTTCTATTGGAATTCCTGGGAGTTACTGGGCAGCTTTGAAAAATCAGGCCCCTTAGTTACCTACCTAAATATAGATTTAGGTGCCCTAACTCGATCTAGGCACCAAAGTTTGGAACCTTTGGCCTGGCTATTTAAAGGCCTGCCTAGCAAGTATACCGGTTATCTACAGGGACTCCACCAGGTCAGCTTGTTTCTCATCATTATTTTGTTACTGTTTTCCTCCAGCACTAAATTCAAGAGAGGCAATGCAGTCAGAACTTTGGTGGTTTGTTTTTGTTTTTCATTGTTGTTTACTGTTAAGAAAACACATCTATTAGTTTGTGTTTGTCTTTAGGGATTGAAGACACCTTCAGGACAGCTGCCACAGAAGTGAGCTTACTTGCAGGAAGCGAAGAGTTCAATGCCACCAAGCTATTCGAAGTTGGTAAGCAGCTGGCAGTCTAGTAGCTCTAGAGACAAGCTCCTTTTAGGATTGTTTTTTAAACTATCACTATAAGATTTGGGCTCATAAGCCTCTGTCTTAAAAATGAGTCATATTCCAAATTGCTGTTGATTATTTTATTGTTAAGGAACAGAACTAGACCTCGGAATATCTTGGTTCTATCCCTAGCTCTGTCACAGGATTCTTTTTGAATAACTTTCCACAAATCACCAAGTCGGTGTCTGTGCCTCAGTTTCTCCAGTTGTAAAACAGCGATGCTGTGTCCTTACCTCACAGCAGTGCTATAAGCGCTTCGGTATCCTCAGTTGAAAGGTGCTATAGCGGCACTTTATTCGTGATCATTTTTGTAAGAGTTACAGCTGTTGCTGATGTGAGGTGGATAATTATATGAGCAATAATAGCATTTGTAGCTATGGATGGCAAGATAGGATCAACCAAATCAATGCCTCAGGGTATGAGCTGATTGCTGTACGTAACTTTCTTCCATTCATGTACAACAGTGCACATAATGGGCCACGTGTACTGTGAGGGTTTATCCCCTACCATAGAAGCATCAGGGATTGGTCCCTTATGGAGGTAGGATACTAGACAGGTTGGATCAACAGTGTTATCCGGCATGCCAAATCCTAGTGTATGCTTGTAAGGCAAACTATAGCACTTGTTGACAACCGGGCATATCACTTAAATGTATGGCAAACTGACCATGAAATCGTTGAGGCAATATGTTTGCAGTATAGCTTTAGGCCGAAACTTTGCTCACCTTCCTCATGTGATGAGACCTATTGAGTGCTGATGACATAAGTAATGTAAAATTAAGGCCCTACTTATGGGACCAGACCCATCGTTTGAGATGATTTGGCCCCCAAACAACCAAAATGAGAAACTTAACTGATTCTCTCCAGTCCCCTTCAACATAATCCATTAATATCAGCTGTAAATGTCCTACTCTGGCCACCCCGCCACCCCACACCAAAATTCATAGGTCTAGTGCCATTTGACCATCCTAATTTACGGACATTGTCTGATGGTACATCATGTAACTGGCTGCTGTAGGCCACTCTCTATCTTCGAACTGCAGCTGCTCGAAAGATCCTTTTGGAGAGGTAGAGGACATGGCAAGGGAAAAATAAATGAAGTCCTAACCAAAGTATTTTTCATAAGTACAAGGCTATGCTTATCATCTTGGAGTCTTTAGTGTCATTACAAACCAGCTGAGCCTCACGTACCGTTTCAGAGCCCCAAGTGGTGGTACAGGAAGGCTGTGAGATCTTGGGTTTTGGAGCTGAGGGTCAAGAGCTAGGGCTGCCGGCTTCTATTCACAATTCTGATTCATTGTTTAACCTGGGGCAAGTCACTTAACCTCTCTGTGCTTCAAGCTCACTCACTTGCAAAACTGGAGTATGTCGTCTATTGTACTTCACTGGGCTGTTGCCAGGTTTAATTGAAGTTTGTAAGACATTGTGAAAGCCTAGTAAGTGCCAAAGATCCATGTAACTATGGCAATGTAATTCACGGTAGGATGGCCTTTTCTTGTCATAGCTTGCTTTCTTGATTATCCAATAACAAGATAAGTCACCACACTACAAGCAGGCATGCTTTATAGCCCTTACTTGGTTACACAGAACTTTCTGTGGGACAGTTACGTTTATCTTCATTGTTATCTCTGTAGCTATATCATATTAATTTACGTGCTGCGTAATGTACCTTAAGGCATTTTCCTCTCCCCTCCTCCCACAGATACTGATAGTTGCGAAAGATGGATGAGCTGCAAAAGTGAGTTCTTGAAGAAATACATGCACAAAGTGGTTAATGACCTACCCAGCTGCCCTTGCTCCTACCCCACAGAAGTCGCTTACAGCACTGCTGAGATCTATGATCGGATTAAACGGAAAAACTTTCGCTGGAAAGATGCAAGTGGGCCAAAGGAAAAACTGGAGATCTACAAGCCCACAGCCAGATATTGTATCCGCTCTATGCTTTCCTTGGAGAGCACAACTCTAGCTGCGCAGCACTGTTGCTATGATGACAATATGCAGCTGATTACTAGGGGGAAAGGGGCGGGCACACCAAACCTGATCAGCGTAGAATTCTCCGCAGAACTCCATTACAAAGTAGACATTTTGCCTTGGATTATATGCAAAGGAGACTGGAGCCGATACAATGAAGCACGGCCCCCTAACAATGGTCAGAAATGTACAGAAAACCCTTCAGATGAAGACTATTACAAGCAGTTTCAGGAAGCAAGGGAATACTGAAGGGATTTTCCTCCTCAGACAGGAAAATGGGGATCATTTTTATAGATGGTACAAAACTGCATTTGCTGCATTCTCTATTTGAAATGGGGTTGGTCAGTATCTTTAGTATGAGTGTATATATTTGTATATAATACATGTGTGTGTAATTTATATATGCCTATATCTCACACACTCCTCTGCATACAAACATACACAAAACCTTTAATGATAGAAGCGGATATAGCAATAAAATGCATTTTATTTCAAAAGAAAGAAAAACCTCCAGGGAGAAACAGTGTGACTAAATTCATGCTGAATAAAGAGCTTGATACAGATTTTTACATCAGTGTAAATCAGTAAAGCTCTGATCCTGCTCCCATTGATTTTAAATGATGCACGATTGGTCCCTAATGGTAGGGTAAAACTAGGGGAAGTGAAATGCAAATCAGGCTCAAAGGTCCTGTACAGCAAAGCACTTAAGCACATGCTTAGATCCATTATAGTCAATGCAACTTAAGCATGTGCTTAGAGATAAGCACATACTTACCTGCTTTGCCACATGGAGAGGTTTGGGGTTTTTGTATCTGGGCCAAAGAGCCTAAACTCTCAAACAGTTTTTATATGTAACTTATTTAATATAAACACAGCTGTTAAAAATAACACTTTCTCTGGAGCTGTATTAATGAAAGTATTTAATGGTATCTACAAGAAGAGGGGAAGGATTGTTGGGAGGGAAAGCTATTAAGTATTGGAGGAGAAAACAGGTAGAAATGCTGCAGATCAATAAACCAACACCCACATTAATCATTCTCAGTTGAAGCTCCCCATTGCCCTTCCAGTCACTCAGGTGTTAGCTGTACATAGGTGGTAGGGTTTCCAGAAGATGCAGCTGCCATGTTCCTTTGGGCTACACCAAAAGAATCTAAAATAAGGCCTAGGATTCTGCAAAGACATATGAATGTGCTCAACTTCCCATACTGTGAGTAGTTCAGTGACTTCAATGGGACTATGCACAGGGGCGGATCTACAGCTATGAATTATCATAGCTCCATGGAAGAGAATGAAGTTATGACAATTCACACCAGTAGAGAATCTGCCACACAGTGTGTACAAATAAAGAAACGGTGTAAGTAAATCTTTGCAGGATCAGGGACTAACAGGCCAAAATTTGCTGAGGCTGAAGCGTGGAGTTAAAAGGAAAAGAATGTTGACCAAAAAAAACGAAGAAATCCTGGTTATCTTCTAATTCCTACATGTAATTAGAAGGGTTCTGCTATACAGAAAGAAGTGCACTTTTAAAAAAAAGAGAAACGAATATAGAGTTTTGAACAGATTCACTGGGGTACAATAAGTCACCTTCTTAATTTTTTTTTCCTTCCAGCATGTCCTGACTGCACAGTATTATACAGAAAAAGCTATTCTTTAAAGAGTTTTTTGGAGGAAAGGGATAAGGAGTTCTTCTCAGTGATTTAAAAAGCCTGAGCATTATTTTTGTAAAGTATTTATTAAAATGTTGTTATAACTCATGCAAGGGGTGTTTTTAACATGCGGGGCTTCTGTAGCTGGAATGTGATGGCCAGGAAAGAGACTATTTCTAGGCAAATGTTTAACTTGCAGATCTCTATGAAAAATGAATCTATCAATAAAACCACAGTTAAACAGTTGGTACCTGCATTCTCATTAAAGACAAAGAAAATTACAGTGTGTGAAAAGGAGTAATAAACACTTAGATTAGTTTGTTGGGAACTAAATTTAGCTCACTTGAGTCCCAGTCAGTCATACATACTAAACATGAAGCCTTACCACTGGGATTCAGTTTATTGTATGAGGATTAATCAGATTTAAAAAGGAAAACAAGCAGGTCTCTTGGCTTCTCAGGTGCCAGTTGATTGTGATAAAACCAAGAATTGGGTAGTTGATTGGGGCAGGTCATCGTATGTCCCTAAACAAAAGGATTGTTCCTCATTTCAGGATCTGTCCCCTTGATTTTTATAGAAACCAGTTTTTGTAAACCCTTGCAAGTCCAGCCCTGGTAAGGAGACTTGAGCCAGTGAAATTGACAGCAGATGGGCTAAACATTTAGGCACCTCAAGAATCACCCATTACAGAAGGAGGGAGTTTTGTAAAAATGGACCAGTGTTTTGCCCAGTTAGCTGCCTTGAAAATAGAGGAAGTGATGTAATGAGCAATTTCTAACAGCATGGGATGAAACCAGCATCTCAGGTTTCTCTGGGAGAGAGATGTGTAGAGTCACACATTAATTATATATTTTAAGATTTGTGGAACTATGGAGAGGTTTTTAATAATACACCATTAACATTCAATTACAGAACAAATATGGTATGTGGGGGAGGTAAATTATTTTAATCAACAAAGTGACACAAAAGCTGTCAAGTCCCACTGCTTACAATGTGCCAAAACGAGAAACATGTTTTCAGCATCAGTATAAGTTTTCCTAGCACTGGTCTTGGAGCAGAGATCAAGAGGAAAGAATTCTCAATCGCTGCAGACTGTAATAAAAAAAAGTAAAAGCAAAGTTTGTGCTATTGCATCTGAAATTACAACTCCTTAGGTTTTCTATCTTTGCATTCAACAACTGTTAAAGATCACTGTCCAAATGTCTCCCTGATGTAACTCTCCTAACACACTGGCGTTCAGCCAGGCATGGATTTGACTCAGTCTCGGTAATTAAACAAATAGAGAAATGGAGAGATCAGGGCCCTAACTTGCTCGAAACAGTATAAACAGTTATGATGAAATCTTATGATGTAGTTTACAATAGAATAAAGCAGGTGTATAAAACAAAGGGAAACGTAGGGGGAACTAAACCATACCAAGCACCACACACACTGCCTAGCCAACTAATGTTTTGAAAAGATTTTTGACACTGTCCAAGAGATTCTTTGAAGAGTTCTCAGCAGCTATTATGCCTCCCAGAAGGAATTTTAAAACGGGGGCTATAGTATGTTTCTGTGAGGCCCCTATGCCCACTCGACTTTCCGTTAGGCTTTCTCCATGCCGCTAAATAAAAGCCCATTAATTTTGTCTTTTCTTTGAATGGACCTGGCTCTATGTTTCTGTTAAATGGTGAGATTATGTTAACAAAACCTGTAGTGATGATCAGACATTCAGGCTACAGACAATGTGGTTAAACCAGTGCATCCCAACAGTTTTTATTAGCTGCTTATTTCCCGCCCCTATGATTTGCATTGTCAGTGGAATGCAGCCCTTGATCCCGACCTCCTTTGTAAAGTGCTTTGAGATCTACTGATGAAAAGCACTATACAAGACCCCAGGTATCATTATTAATGAGGTCTGTCGATTAATCGCAGTTAACGCACACGATTAACTCAAAAAAATTAAATGCGATTAAAAAAATTAATCGTGATTAATCGCACTGTTAAACAATAGAATACCAATTGAAATTTATTAAATATTTAGAGCCTACAAGTCCACTTAGTCCTATTTCTTGTTCAGTCAGCCACTAAGACAAACAAGTCTGTTTACATTTACGGGAGATAATGCTGCCTGCTTCTTATTTACAATGTCACCTGAAAATTAGAACAGGCGTTCGCATGGCACTTTTGTAGCTGGTGTTGCAAGGTATTTACGTGCCAGATATGCTAAACATTCGTATGCCCCTTCATGCTTCAGCCACCATTACAGAGGACATGCTTCCATGCTAATGATGTTCGTTAAAAAAATAGTGAATTAAATTTGTGACTGAACTTCTTGGGGGAGAATTGTATGTCCCCTGCTCTGTTTACCCGCATTCTGCAGTATATTTCATGTTACGGCAGTCTCAGATGATGACCCAGCACATGTTGTTTGATTTACGAACACTGTTACTGCAGATTTGACAAAATGCAAAGAAGGTATCAATGTGAGATTGCTAAAAATAGCTACAGCACTCGACCCAAGGTTTAAGAATCTGAAGTGACGTCCAAAATCTGAGCGGGACAAGGTGTGGCAAATGCTTTCAGAAGTCTTAAAAGAGCGACACTCTGATGTGGAAACTACAGAACCCGAACACACATACACACAAAAAAAATCAACCTGCTGGTGGCACTGACTCAGATGATGAAAATGAACACGCATCGGTCCGCTCTGCTTTGGATTGTTATCGAGCAGATCTGTCATCAGCATGGACGCATGTCCTCTGGAATGGTGGTTGAAGCATGAAGGGACATATGAATCTTTAGAGCATCTGGCATGTAAATTTCTTGTGACGCCGGCTACAACAGTGCGATGCTAATGTCTGTTCTCACTTTCAGGTGACATTGTAAACAAGAAGCGGGCAGCATTATCTCCTGCAAATGTAACCAAACTTGTTTGTCTGAGCAATTGGCTGAAGTAGGACTGAGTGGACCTGTAGACTCTATCAAGTTTTACATTGTTTTATTTTTGAGTGCAGTTATTTTCTTGTACATAATTAGATATTTGTAAGTTCAACTTTCATGACAGAGATTACACTACAATACTTGTAGTAGGTGAATTGAAATATACTATTTTGTTTTTTACAGTGCAATTATTAAAAATAAATAAGCGAGCACTGTACACTTTTGTATTGCAACTGAAATCAATATATTTGTATTCTGTATTGCAACTGAAATCAATATATTTGAAAATGTAGAAAACATCCAAAAATATTTAAATAAATGATATTCTATTGTTTAATAGTGCGATTAATCACAATTAATTTTTTAAAAATAATTTGACAGCCCTATTATTAATTTATTATTAAAGGCTATTTAGCTCAGATAAACTGATTTTCATGGTACCATTTCCAATAAGATTAGTGGGAGTTAATTATTAGTCTACTAAATCACTTTTGAAAATGGAACTCTGGCACTTTTGAAAGGTTTACCCAAGATCATTTCGGTACAGTATACCAAGATACTAGAGACCCTGCATGGACCAATTCTTAGATTATATAGGCAGAAGGGACCATAGTGATCACCTAGTCTGACCTCCTGTATAACACAGGCTATAGGACTTCCCTGAATGAATTCCTGTTTGAACTAAAGCACATCTTTAAGAAAAAACATCCAATCTTGAAGTTTCCAGTGATGGAGAATCCACTATAACCCTTGATAAGCTGTTATCTGATTCCAGAAAAATGTACAGTTCATTTCTCTCAGCAACTGTAGCCCGAGATAGATAGATAGAGAGGGAGGATATACAGTAATTACTGAGCAAAAGAAATTAACTTGCACCCAGAACATTTTGATTAATGAAAAGTTAATGAAAAGTTACAAACAAACTAGGTAGTTATTAGCCCTCCTGAAAACAGTTAATAGCCACTGCAAGTCCTGTCTAGTTGAATATTGATGCAGCCTTCTGGTGCATTCAAACCCCAGAAGGCAGCACGTGCTGGCTATACATCAGCCCAGCCGATATGTTGGCCAGGTGCGTAAGTCCAAGGAGGCAGCTCCAAGCTCAGGAATTGCAGATCTGCTCTGGGGAGATGCTTGTGTTAATGAGCTCACTTCCTTCCACGTGCCACAAGCCCCTACCTTTGGCTGTCCCCACAGTGGGACTGTGCAGAGGTTACAATAGCCCTAGGACTGAAAGTAAACCCTCCTGCAGTGCGAGCAGCAGTGAGGGGAAGGTCACTGGGCCACAGTCTAATTTAGCTTTTACGTTGTTTTTAAATTATATGAATCAGGGGGTCCTCAGATTATACTGGAATGTCAGCGAGAAGGTTCCTAATCCAACTCACTAGATACAGTTGGCCTCTCTCTCTCTAATCCCCCTGCATAGCTGGATAGGCTCCTTCCCCTTCACAGAGATGTGAGGAGAAGAAATCTAGTCAAAAGGCCCTGTTGTCTCTGGCCGAGCGCCAATGCTGAGGTAGCTGCCAGGGACAGGCACCTTCGGCTCCATAGCTCTTTAAAATTTCTTGCCTGCCTGCCTGAAATCAGCAACCCACCACCCAATGTAATTGCTCAACTGCACTGGGGCTTCCGCCTGCTGGCAGGGGCTTCCATACAGCAAGGACCTTCCCCAGAAAGAAGTCATTTAGGCTGTCTAGAATGCTCATAAGACCCCACTCCTACAAGTAATATTGGGGCCCTAGTTTTGTGATCTGTAGGTACACAGCAAGAGTCTACCTTTGATCAGTACAATTACCCCAGGAACATTCAACAGCAAGCGTACGGCACCTTTAAACTATCCTTTTAAAGTCAGTTGGAAAGTCATGCAAGGGGTGTTGTTTAACATGATCAAATCACTCCATCTCTCGTGTGTGTTTACACTACGGGGGTGGGGGTTGATCTAAGTCACGCAACTTCAGCTACGTGAATAATGTAGCTGAAGTCGATGTACTTAGATCTACTTCACTGCGGTGTGTCAACAGGAGACGCTCTCCCATCTATTCCCCTTGTGCTTCTTGTTGAGGTGGAGTACCAGAGGCGATGCTAGAGCGATTGGCAGTGGATTTATCGCGTCTATACTAGACACGATAAATTGACCCCGCTGGATCGATCGCTGCCTTTTGATCCAGCTGGTAGTGTAGACAAGCTCTTAGAACTCATAAAAATAAGAAAGGAGGGAAGGGCAAGTGGAGGAGAAAGTGCAGCAGTTTGTGTTGGGATGGGGAGAAAGCCATTTCCAGCAAGCCGGTAAGCGCATGCATTGGTACCTGGCTTAATGACATTTGTGT